AGGTCTGTGACACATTGTTCCACACTGGGCAAAGAGTATACCTGGTACAGATGTGGTGCAGTCTCCCACGTATTATCCTTTAATGTAAGGATCTACTGTTTTAGTTTGTTCTTAGGTCCCTCCACCTATTCAATGTAGGATTCTAGCTATTTATGTGAGCAGATTTTATGTACCGTATCGGAAGTTATAATTTTTCTACACTGAAAATGTATTTCCAATAGGTACTTACTTTCCATCACACTTCCCACTCTTCTTCCCCACAGAAAACAGGTGCTTCCATTTTCTGCCCAAACTTGAAGTGATAGTTCGGTAGAATCGAAAAGAGGGAGTCGCATGTGTCAGGAGAGTGTGTCGCACTCATATTGGTGGAGGGTTGTTGCATGTTGATTGTTAGTACATGGGAGCTCAAGGCTTGTGGCATGAAAAAAAGTTTTCCATATAGAGGGCAACACTGAACAAGAATAGCTATTTATGTGAGAGGAGGTAAGTACCTATTTGAAATACATTTTCACTATAGAAAAATTATAACTTTTGTGTGTCATGTGCTATGTTGAGTGCAGCTTTGATTCAAATTATATGTTTGTAATGTTCAAATAAAAGTCTATAGTTTCTTACAAATTATAAATCCAAATTACTGGTATTGACAAGCTTTCTGTTTGCTGAGATATCACTATATTTAGGGAATGAAACACAGTGGCCCCACCCACTTCTTCCATTTTTGAAAATATTTCCTTATGTACACCCACTTCACTCCTTCATGGCTTTATAACCAATCAAAAGCTCACAATTTCTCCATGTGGTTTTCTCAGGTTCTTTAAGGCAGGAAGTTCCAAAGATTATTTCTCTTTGTCTTGAATCTCGGAAGGTAGGGGTAAGTGAAAATGTTCAAAAAATAATATTTTTTTAGATCCAAATACAGTTAGTAAGCCTGATAAATTACAGTGGAATTCTGTGATATCGATAGAGTAATTTATAATTTTTTGTTATTTCAAAATGCATATATAAAACCTACAAAAGTTACTTTGTTTTGCATCCTCCATGTGTGAATTTAGGCAAGGCTTAGCAAGCAAGGTATGGCATGCCAGATATAGGGCAAACGAGTACAAACTTCTTTACAGTCATAAGTAGTAGAGATCATTGTTTTCTATATTTCTTTATTGACTGTAATTATTATAACTAGAATTTGACTGTATTTTACAAAATACTGGACCACTGGAACAAAGCCAAGACAGGTCACTTCATAAAGGCCAGCTTTATATTCTTGGATATGATAGCATGAGTGCTCGTAATCCACTTCATTGCAACTTCTGTAATGTTAGTCAGACATGGTTGAAAGGTCAATAAAATAAAAATAATAAATATTTATTTAGACAAAACATTTGTGGATTTTTTGTTATAATTTGTAATCACTCTAGAATGAACAAAAGCATATTTTATATCTATTTCCTAATTTTTATGGTGGTTAAGAGGTCGTTCAAATCAACAAAACCCATACAGAGATACAATAGTGAAAAAACAGATAAAATATAAAGTGTTTTCTGAACAAAATGTTTGATAATTATCTGGAGGTTATAAAGATTTCTCCTGTGAAACTTGACAAATTTCAGATAAAGAAAAGTATTTTTACTCTTAAAATCAAAAATTACTCTGCATGTTGAACAGTCAACATTCGAAAAAAAATTCATGAGGAAATCAGTGCTTAAAAATTCTTAAAACTTAATAAAAACAAACCTGATATTTCGTGTATGAAAGCCTTGTAATATTTACTGATAATCTGCAAAATTTCTTGAAGATACTCATACTGTATTAAAAGTTATAATATGAAAACTAGAACAAGCACAAAATGGTTACAAAGTTGGTCCCTGGGACCGAGTTTGTAGTGAAAGAGTTAAACTACAAAAATTTCATTGTTCTTGTGAATACAAACTTTTTGGGGTACATTAATTAAATTGAATGTTGTCTGTTATTTATCCTGTTATGTTGCTGTATTTATATTATTAACAGAGAAGACATTTTTAGCCATAATTTTGTAAACAAACAGACATATCACCTCAGGTAACAAAGACCATAACAAAAAAAAGCATTTAAATATTGATGTATTAATTTTTATTCTTCAGTACTTGAGCTAATTTATCAATATGATATTTTTGGCACTGCAGGAACTAATATAAGGTATATAATTTTCTGTTTCATTGAAAAAATAGTTTTGATTGCATAGTATTATAGTTGACTTGTTTATTCTTTTGTTTAATTGTTTTCAGAAATAGTAAATATTATCTGTAATCTAACATTGTCCTACAGGCATGACTAGGTTGGAAAATGATAAAAATATTTCATGAAAACGTTTTTCTTATAGGAAAACCCACCAAGAGAATTTAGGTGTGGTATGTGGTTTTGATACATTTATATACACAGCATGGTCACAAGTAAATAGACACCACCTTTTCAGAAAAAATGAAATTTTTCAGTCATATTCACATGAATTGATATATTTATAATTTAATTAATATCTAGTAGATCTTCCTTTCGCTTCGTGGAGTTCGTTGATCCTTTGGGGCATCGTGAGAATCATCTCGTCAATTTCAGATTGTGGGATTTTTGCCCACTCTTGCTTCAAAACTTGGAGTAGATCGCTCTTCGAAGTTGGTTTTTTTGGTGTTTCTTGACTTGCCAGTCGAGTATGGCCCAGAGGGTTTCTATGGGGTTCATGTCAGGAGATTGGCTTGGCCAGGGCAACTTCTGGATACCATTTTCTCCTGCC